TTATGAATCACATTTGCAACAATTTATAATGTATCCTAAATTCACAGCATATATTATTGCTCTAGATCATGTTCATTGAGCAAGCTCTATAGAGGTCTTACATTCTATGCTAATATTTTATTTTCAGACCCGGAGTTATTAATTATCGAGGATCATAAATCAAAATTTTTTGAATGGCTTAAGTATGATTGTTGACAAACTTTGACTTCATTTTCTAGGATGAGAATGACATGTGTGAAGGTTAGAGAAATCTTTGTTGAGGATGTATGTGAAGCTTCACATTTTGCTAATCTCTTACCTTGCAATAATTAAATAAGGGTTGGAAATTTTTGTTTAAAATGTCTTGGTAAACAAATAGAAATTCGAAAATTGAGGCAATAAATAAACATCAGTATGTTAGTTGAGATATATAGTTACAAGAGTCTAAATCGAGGTATTTGGAGAATATAAAGAATCTTTGACAACGACGAGTTTAGTAAGACAATTGTAAGAACTCATTTGGTTATATGGTTGTGAGTCTGACTCCATAAAACTTTTGGCAGTAATAAAACATTTTTCGATATCGAAGTTTCAAAATGAAAATATTTTAGTTTGTAAGAGCAAGCAAATTGTATTCACATCGAGTTACCCTAGCCATAAACTTTTGTTTTTCATATTCAACCAAAGAGTTGAGTTCGAAGGTATTGATTAATGTTAAAAATAAATTAAACTATATATATGGCAAATGCTAGGGAATGCCTACGCCCGTTGAGTATTGATATTTAGACAATGTATTAACCTGAGTTTGGGGCATGATACTATATACCCTAACCCTAATGTGTGAACCTCAGTCTCCAATTCACTAACCTAAGGCATAATATTCATTTAATCTTGAAATGAAAATCAAAGATTCTTATCCATCAAAATTATCGTTGATTTTCATCTTCGGCTAATTCAAATGTGTCTATAATACATCCAAGAATTCAAATGCATATGAAATGTTACAATGTTAGTAGGAAATTTTGTAAATCTTTTTTTAAAAAAATGATAAATTAAGTGTTCAAGCAAAACATCATTTTAAAATACACTTGAATACGTGTGCGTTGTAGACACACTTTATTAATTATTAATGTTAGTAATACATTTTTTGTTCCATAACAAACACCAAGGACAATTTTTTAGCAAATGCACATTTAAAAAGTTGAAAAATTATACACTGAAGGACAATGTTAAGATGAGAATCCTCAATAGTGTATGTGAGTGTTTTCGGTTGAGATTATAAAACAATATTTAGACAACAACCATGGATTGAGAGTTAGTCCAATTTTCAAAAGTAGCAATTGATATATATTGTATAAGATACTAAATTTGAGTATCTTGATAAACAAATTTTATCATAAGATCCTATACTAAGACTTCATGAACATCCACAACGAACATGAGTAAAGATTGAAGCATTTGATCTTCATAAGGTATACGATGCGTGTAATTTCCATCATGATAATCATAATTTATTCTGTAATCAAGTATCTTTATCCAATAATCAGAACTCTCATTAATTGGTTGAGAGTCTGTCCATACTCTAGAATCATATGCTGATATAGGTTATATAAGATAATAAATTTGAGTGTCTTGATTGAAAAATATAAATATATTATTGATCCTAAATGGGACGTGACAAACCTTCACGATATGATTTATGGTTAGAGAATCAAAACATCATAAGTAAGTGTGTTAATTATTAAGTATTAAGAATTTTCAATATAGGCATACCATTCACTTATGAAAGCGAGAAAATAAAATACTTATAAAATCCAAATAAATTATACATATAGATAAATTATTTAATATAAATAATAAAATGTAATTCTCCGGCCAACGGGCCGGGTAAAATACTTGTTAGTTGTATGATTTACTTTAGATAACTTGTGATATGTTTTATGAGATTTCTTGTATATATGCTTTAGCGAATTTGTGGTCATCTTTGAGTTTTCTTACATGCTTAATGAATTTTGTGGTGAGGTTATGGTATGCATAATAAGTTTTTTCGGTCTACTTTTATGTTATATATGTGGTGTGGTTTGTTGTGTTTCTCGTCTGTGTCTTGTGGTAAGCTTCATGATACTTGTGATGAGGACGTGATGCGAAATAAATGAGCAGGACCACAAGCGTGGTCCCCTATATTTTTTAAAAATAACAAGCACCTCACTCCCTTAAAAATCCAACACTAATTTTTGATCAACCCATTAAGAATAAAACAACCATCAAAAGAAAATGTTCTTATTGACTGAAACGAGTATTAGTATCAGTAGTACCATCGCATGCTTATAAAGTAGGTGTTAACACATTAACCAAAACCTAAAATTGCACGCTTTTGAGTATAATCCAAGATAATTATAAAAAAAAAGACATACTACAACTCCAATCCAAAAAAGGAAAGAAGAAAGATCACTCTTTCCAGGTATGTAAATGCATTCACATGTGAGGATTTTCCGCTTTTTCATAATATCAATTAGTTAGTGCCCGAATTTCTCATGTTTCTCCGATTCCCAACTTCTTCGATCGAATAGCAGTGATCAATTGATCATTAGCTTTGTAGAATTTACATGGTAATGCTCCAGCCCTCAAAGCAACATTCAAAATCAACCTTGTGATACACCACCACTTTCCACGTCCATTATCACACTAACTTAAGGCTATAGGATAAACCCTACACGTAAATACACTAGCTATCCGTTTTTATGTATGAAGCACAATCGTACGGCGCCTATGGTCGCCTCTTCCCCACCTTTCACGTGTAACTTAATTTCTCAACATTAATGGAGCATTTATTTATATGAATCGTTAGGTTAGAGAACTGATTTTTTGGGTATTTGAGTTAAATTTGTGTTTAACGACTAAATTTACAAGTATTAATTTCCAGATCGTAATTAATGAGAAAACACAAACAAAAAATTTCATGGAATGAGAGATAAATGGACACACTTGAAGTTCAAGAACTAAAATGATAAAAAAAAATATTGAAGTAGAGAGACTAAACTAACATTTCAGTCACGTTAAATTAAATAAATAGGTATTGTGAATTAAATGGACAAACTTGAAAGTTACTAATTAAGAAAATCAAAATATTAAAGTGGTGAGGCTAAACTTACATTTTATAGTCAAGCTAAGCTAAATAAATAGGTACTTAAAAATATTTATAAAAACAAATAAGAGAGATTTGAACCTGTAACCAAGCATGCATTATCCAACATATTTACCAATATATCAACTGAAAATTAATATTTTAATTTTGTATTCCACTTTATATAGAGCAAATCGTAAAATTTTCAGAAACATGAGGTCCACAACCTCTCACGTAATTTCGTCCCTATAATAGAGGCCTTGTGCAGGAGGGCCAATCGGCACATGCTAATAGCGTGCCCTGACACTAGGCTTTTTCATTTTTCAATATATAGTATTGGTCCAGAGTCACACATTTCTCATATTGTCTAGTTTGTATACCCGGTTGATGAAAAAAAATAACGAAATTAATTATCCATACATGAAATTAATGTCTCATAATTGGATGATCAAACTAGGTATCCAACATCATATATGGATCTATACACATTGTTACACAATGGATTACCTTAACCTTAATGGGAATAAGTTTATCTATACTTCAATATGCAGTCTCACATCCATGTCATTAATGTGAAGTCATGAATCATTATATACTAAATTCCGTAGGCTACTTCTCAAAACGTGAAAAAAATTTGCCACGAACTTCATCTCTTGAACCAAACTTTTTTTACTTTATAGGTAGGACTACAAGTAAAAAGAATTGAATTTTAATTTATTTATCTCAACTTCGATTCACCACCCGCCGTCTTTCGGGGTTGACCAAACATATGCAGTGAAGCGTTGTGATACGGCTCTACACATCACCTAATAATTAGTCCTGATGAACTTATCTATTAACCAGGACTACTAAATAGTGACGTTCCCAAATCCCAGCTAGAAATTAAAGTTCAATTCCACTTATGGAAAATGTATGTGCTAGATAGTTGAGAGAGATACGTATAGTCAAAACTAGAAGTCGACTAGGAAGAGTAAATGGACTTTAATACCGGCCCATATTTGTTGTTGATAATAACGGTGATGACTTCCATATCCACGTGGGGACAATGCAAAATATGTCTATAGCATGCCTGTCATTTTTCTTTCTGCTGTTCTCACTAGCTAGACACGTGATGCACAAGTCATACATGCACCGTGAATAATAGTTTGTGGTAGGTAGCTAGCTTAGTGTATGACTATGTATGTGTATACGTGGAAATAAACGATACACGAGAACGACCATAATTTATTAGTGACAAATACGCGAGTTCATATTCTAGCATTTTGAGGAGAGTATTTTGAGGAGAGTGTACGGATTTCAAACCTAATTAATTTGGAGCTGCATACATATTAGGATGTTAAATAGGCTATTTAGCGATACATCTACTAAATTGTGATTTGAATAGGTTGAAAACTGAAAATCGATGGACAAAATCCATAGTAGGTTCTAGCCATACCAACAGCATCGAATGTGCTTTATCTGTGTACAATATGATATGAATTCATGAAATTTTTTTATTATACCAATATCCAGAAGACAATATGATTTTAGGATATTAGCCTACAAAGTATACATTAATTTATTTCAACCAACGGATTTATAGTCCAACAAATTAAGTTGCAACTCTAAATTATAGAGTAAATCAAAGATATTGAGGGTTGGAGACTTGGAGTCCCAATGAGTTTCAATCTCTTCGAACAAGTCTAAATTTACCATTGGACTCAAATTTATAGGAACAGTAAAATCTCAAAGTACCTTGTGCCTTGGGTCCAGAAGCCTTAGGCTCAGATTGGGTCGGTGACACAGAAGAACCTTACAAAATGGTGAGCCCATGAGATGAAAAGCAGTTTAGGCCCATTTAGATGGGCCGGCCTGTGATTTTGACACCAACTCCTTTCTTTTGTGGACCTCCTCTTCCCTGTCTTCACTTCTGCTTTCCCAACAAACACTTTCCCGTTTCCACAGAACCAGGAGCATCGCAGAAAAGGAGCTCTGCTTTGCCTGCTGCGCTGGGGAAAGCCAATACACCGCGCCAAAAGGAAATCAACATTGGAAAGAAGGCATAAGACCCCCACTAGTCGGAGAGAAGATGGCTCAGTTTCTGGGTTCCGTTCGGGTGACACCTTACACTCTGGCCAATTTCGCACATTCCAGACTCCAAATCCCACTCCACAACAACAGCTGTTCGCTTCCCGCCTCCAGAATTGGGTTCTCTCCTTTCAGGAGGATTCTTCGAGCTTGCCTTCAGACAAGTACGTTCAGTTTTTGAATTTTTACCGTTCTTTTATGCGTTGCTTTGAATTGGGTAGCTGGGAATTTGAAGCTGACACTCAACTAGATGGGGTCAAAATTCGAAACTTTGATTCAATCAGGTGGGAATGGAAGCATTGGGCGGTGCTACATTCGCGCTTGGGTTGGACCTCCAATTGCTTTGCTTTGGCTTAGATTTTGGTTTGGACTTCCAGTTCCCTTGTTTTGCTCCCATTGTGGGTGAACCTTCAGCGACTTCTGGCTTTTATAGAAGCATCTACTTAGATCTTTTTCGTAGACAGGCTAGAGTATTTTAGATCCTTGACTCCAAGCGTATTTTTCCGTTTTACTCTTTGTTCCTGATGGTGTTAGAATTAGTTTTAGGCGACAAATTCTTTAATCTTTTGGGGAGACAGCAGATCGGGGATTTTGTTTTAGTAAATGACAATGCTTTTGTAGTAGAAGATAGTTCTTGGATCAAGTAGCTTTATCTTATGCCCTGCACTCAAGGAGAGGGCTCTACTTTTGTTTGTCATGCTTCTGGTAGGTTTTGTCGATACAAGTGGATTGTGTTTTCTAACAAGGCATCACTACAGATGCCGGTGGGAATGTTGACACACAATTTCCTTCGGACCAACCTGAGATCATATTCATGGGAACAGGAACTAGTGAAGGCATTCCTCGTCTAAGTTGCCTGACTAATCCTCTGAAGAAATGTGAGGTATTGTGACAGATCATTTGGATTTCACAACCATTTCTACTTCCAGATCGGGGCAGGACCGCATGTGATGTTTGAAGTTTTGCCCTTAATTCATCACGATTTTGGTGTAACCCTCCTCCTTGGTTTCCTAGGTTTGTTCAAAAGCCACAGAACCTGGTAATAAAAATAGGAGGCTTAACACAAGCATTCTCATTCGTCATCCTGGGCCAGATGGTACACGTAACATTCTAATAGATGCTGGAAAGTAAGTAAAGCATTCTTCTCAGGTTCTAGCATGATGAACATGCACTTATACAAGTTTTGGGATGCTTTTGCTATTGATAAAGGAATTAAAAGAAAAGAACACATTTTTCGAGATTTTATAGAGACAAACAGTTATTCCTGTGAAGAGTAGTCTTCATCATCTTGACTACGGCCTTCTTGGATTAAATTCTCCATTTTGCAATCTGTGTTGCAGGTTTTTCTACCATAGTGCTCTTCAGTGGTTTCCTGCATACGGGTCAGTTCTTATACTTCATACTATTACCTTTCCCATTGAAAGTATTATCAGATGGTGAATTGACACTATGAGTTTGGATTAGGTTACTATTGCTTTAGTAATATCCTTGACTGATTTCTCACTTGAATTATCCATTTCCAAGAAGTTTTTAAGGTTTACTCAATAAGAATTATCAGAGTGTTGCTCAAGTTGCTTTGCTAGTCCTTGAGCTCTGTGTAGTAACTGACAGTTCAATTGGAGATCCCCATGAATTTTCACATATTAGATGGATGAGTCTATCTACCTTTCAGCATATAACAGCTTTTTTGGGTCTCTCACTGCAATATTTTGTACTCCTGTTTTTCAACACTACCATTTGTCTCTTGTAGAGGAGCTAGATTGGTTTGAGGTCTAGTTCTTTTTCTTTATTGTCTGTGCACTTCTGTAGAGTCTTTCTCCTCATGACGGCTTCAAATTTCTCTCAGGCTAAGAACAATTGATGCGGTTATTATTACTCATTCTCATGCTGATGCCATTGGAGGTCTCTGACATTAACTTCTTAATCCATTTGTAAATAAAAGCCTTGAAGTTAAGATATGCATGATGTTTTCTCGGTCTTTTATAAAAAATGCAGGAGTTCAGTTTCTATTTGTCACTGAGTAAGACTTTACTGTTTCAATCCCTTCTCCAGGACTCGACGACCTCCGGGATTGGACAAACAATGTCCAGCCTCACATTCCAATATATGTTGCACCCCGTGATTTTGAGGTTTGCAGCTTTTTCTCGCTTTTGGCTGTTGTGCTTTAGTCTAATTGTCTAAATTGATGACATTGTACTTAAAATGTGCCATAGAATTGTCTATTCTTTATAGATAGTAATGAGTTTATTTCCCGTGTACTTTGTGCATTTCAGGTAATGAAGAAAACTCATTACTATTTGGTTGACACTAGTGTGGTTATACCTGGCGCTGCAGTTTCAGAGTTGCAATTCAACATTATAAATGAGGAGCCATTTACTGTTCATGATGTAAAGGTACACGGGAGTAATATTTCATGGATCTCTCCCCATTTCTGGAAAGGTTCCAAAAGTAACAGATTATGAGTATTGGGCAAGTTTCTGATTTTCTTATTACAGGTCATAGATGATATAACTACTTTAACTATCTTAGAACCAGATACTAAGAGCATGTGCAGCAACTTATAACCGAAATTTAGGTTTATGGCATTATTTTGTTTTGATGTTTAAAGCGAACAATTTGATCGAACTAACTAGCATTTGCTATTACAGTTTACACCTCTGCCAGTCTGGCATGGAAAAGCTTACCGTTCCCTTGGTTTTCGATTTGGTAATGTATGTTACATCAGGTAATACTACTCTTGTCCTCTAAACCATACTCTCTATCCTTCCTTTTAGTTCGACCCTAGAAGTAGAGAATTTCCTTAATCATGTTTTCATGTTACAGTGATGTCAGTGATATACCAGATGAAACTTACCCACTTCTGGAGGATTGCGACCTCCTGATTATGGTTTCTCTTTCTCACCGAAACATATTTATTTTGCATTGTGCTCTTCATTCTTCAATGTTGTTGTCTCATTGCTTATACTTCAATCAAAATTCTTCAGGATGCCTTGAGGCCCGATCGGTCATCCTCTACACACTTTGGACTACCAAGGGTATGTTCCGCACTATGCTACATTTTCGTCCCTTTCAATTTGATTAAGATTGAGGCATATACAGATCGGTCTGCTGTTCATTTTTGTAATTATTGTTTTCAGGCATTAGATGAAGTACGCAAAATCAAACCGAAGAGAACTCTGTTCACTGGTATGATGCACCTAATGGATCACGAGAAGGTCAGTGAATACCTTACGAAGTTGATGGAGACGGAAGGAATCGATGTACAGTTGAGCTACGATGGGTTGCGCCTACCAGTAACGCTCTGACTTCTCCCTTAGCAGTCTCTAGCTACTTCCTCTCTCATTCTTTTTCTCAACAGAGAAACTGCAGAAAAAGTCACAAAGGTCTGAACTTTAACCGTTAAATTGCTTTTGCATGAGCTCAGACATTGCATCAGAATGATCTTTGATGAGTTCATGCGATATGATAGGGGATACATTGCACAGGAAGAATAAGTGAGTCCCCAGCTCCAAAGATTGGGTTTTTAGGTTACCTCCTTGGTCAGTTTAAGTGTGTGCTTCAGCTCACACTGGAAAAATAGTTGTGGGTTACCTGTTGTGGTCAATTTCTTATCAAAATATCGAAGTCACGGACTTTGGCGAGAGAGCTGAAGCAAGCAAATGAAGTTTGTTTTATGTATGTATTGTATGGTTGGAGGGAGATGGTGGGAAACCGGCAACTGGTCACGATCGACGGCAGGGACCCACCGGTGGCCAACGACACTGCTGCCGTCTTCTCTTTCTTGATAAGGAGAGAAGGAAGGTGGGGAAAATGAAACATCATAGTCAGGAGCATTGCATGGTGCTTGTCTGTCTCGAATCACTGTCAGCCACGTGTAAGCAAGAGGCAAAGATTCACGATTAGTCATTTTCGCCGGCTGTTTGAAGCTGCCGGTGAGTGCCAGCCAAAAAACAGAAATAGTAGTAGAAAAGAAAGGAGAATCTGGTGCGGCAGCAGCTCCGCTCTGCTCCACCGTCACGTAACGTACCCATCTTCTGTTTCCTCCTCGTGATGGATGGATTGGAATTTGGAAATGTGAGTGCTTCGTCGGCAACTGAATCCGTGCCCACTGTGACTCTGTCACGCATTGCGCCATTGGTTCCTTCCTAGTCCTAGTATAGATAATGAATCACTGGCCCAGTAATTGTTTACCAATGATTATTTGTTGTGAACGGGTATTACTAATTTACTATGACACCTTTTTTAGTTTCGTAATCTAAATGGGTATGTGTTAGATATATGGATATTCATTTACTTGAGGGTGGTTTAATTATACATACAAAAATGGGATACAGATTTCTATAAAGAAAATTACACATACAAAAATTGGACAAATTTATAAAACTTGAAAAGTTTAGATACCAAAATGTAAGACCAAAAAGTTTGAAGTACTAAGATTAATTTTGCATCGATATTTTAGGACTTATCTTGGTTTAAAAAAAGATACTTTGAGGACTTATATACAAATTAAATTTAGGTACTAAATATGTATACATATTAAGTTTAGGAAACAAACTGTAATTTGTATTTGGGCATGAGTACAAACGCAAATCCATTTGTTAAAAAACCCAACACACCCAAATAAATGGCTACGGGTACAAACTCATCAAACTCTACCCATATCCATCCATTTGGATTTCATATCCAACTCAATTGAATTGGATAATAAAATATCTAACCATGTACGACATTGCGACTCTGTTATTACCCAATGTTTTTCCGTAACACGTTATTTTGATATTTTCTGTAACATATTGATGCATCATGCGCCTTGCTGCACATATGGCTCGTTTTAACAGGTGGTTGTTTTAGTCAATCGCGTGCATAATTTCTTAGTGAGATGTTATGGCCCTGGTATTTAAATTAGTCTCATCGTCATTCTAAATTCTAATCGATTAATAAGCGTGTGATAAACAAAAAAAAAAAAAATCTAGTAAGCGTACATTATATTGCTAGGTGACAGGTAAGTCTCTTCTTTTATTCATTTCTACTGTTATCTGGTAGTCAAGTGGGCATTCAACAGCAAATAATCAATATCGGGCGCGTAGAGTTTTGTTTTGGCTGTTCACAAAATTTGGGTCTGAGGAGTTTTCGCTTTCGATGGTTTGCTGCTCACTCGTGAAGTTCTCTTGTTGTTTCTGTCTTACATGTTTCACCAACTTTTTGTCTTACCATGGGGTATGGTATGCACTCTCATGGAGGAAAGAAAAAGATTGAAAAGAAAACCGCTAGCTAAGACTAGTCTGTTATATTGATACCACTTTTTCTTGAGAAATCAGAATACAATGCAAGTTATTGGATCTTATTACTAAAATTCATACAAGTTTATATAATTTATAGAGATTAACTTATACAATAACAGTATAACACTAACACTAAATATGAAAGGTAACGAGTCGACTTTGTACTCATAAAAAAGAAAACAATTGAGTCTGACTTTGTTGGATATTTGACCCAATTGTCATGATTCATATGAGTATTGGATTGGACACAAAGGAATCGTAAGTACTTTTAATATTACAACTTCAAAATAAAAGTAGTATAAGACTATATACCATATACTGATATTAAATCGAGGTGTCCATTTTATGACAATTTTTAACATCGCCACCTCCATTTTTGTCCCTTTAGCGGATTTAGTATTTCCGAGACAATTGTAATGAATTTTAAGTTTGGGTTGAGTCCTGCCTCGGTCAACTCATTTAGATCGTACTCAAATGAGTTTATTTTAGTCTAGAGGATTGGTAAATACAAAGAAAATATCGACCATCCGCTAACTATTTTCTATCCTATTTACACCTATTGTTGGTGTTTCAAATTTTTTTTTTTTTTTGGGTTAATACGACATAAAGTGCATTGAATTGGGTATCATTTTCTTCTGGATGTCCAATAAGTCCAATTTAGCCCCAAATTAAAAGGTTGGACATGGATCTAGGCCAAAAGTAAAATAAATTAAAACTAATTTGGCTAATAATAAATTGGGTTGGAGTGGGTCTTTTTGTCATCCATATATCTAAACTCTCAAATGCAAATTTCACAAATTAATTTTGTGCCTGAGAGGCGGAGTGATATAGACAATATAGTCAAAATCCTTATTTTAATTTTAAAATTTTATGATTTTAGGATCTTACCTATGGTTCCGATCCTAATTTTATTGTAAAATCTTTGAACCTTAAAATCCCATAAAATCCAAATTTAAAACCCTTAAATCCTTAAAATCTACGATTTCTGTGATTCCGTACGATTTCAAGGTTCATATCAATTGGAGCAAGATTAGGTCGGTGAAGCCGGGTTCTGCCATGAACCGAGTCAAGTTTACTCCCCCGACCCAACATAATGAACAACACAACCCTAACCCGATAGACAACCCTCAATTTATTTTCATTCTCTTCCTTTTTCGCACGTCGACCCCTAAGTCCTTCCATCAACGATATCTTCCACCCTCCCAATAATCCAAATCTCCATTCCTTTGCAAATTTTCGTTCATCTCTCAATCCTTCAGCACCATTATCCCTGGTCTTTTATCAATTAAGAAGAAAATGCATCAATCAATAATTTATCTTTTTTTTTTGTGCAAATCAATAAGTTATATTTGCCAGATGATGCCATGATGGTGTTCAAGAAAATATGGTCAATGGTGAAAGTACTTCAAGTGATCCCAAGAGTAATAATATTAGTCATCAAGCAAATAACAAGGATGAGAGTGAGGGTGAGGGTGAGGATGAACATGATGTATAAGCGATTTTAATGTTGATCCTAACGATCTTATGTGATTTTCTACTCTTAACTATTAATTAAGTGATTTCGATGAGGTTTCAGCCTTTTAGGTTGCTTATTTGTGTGTTTATATTATGTAAAAAAATGAATATATGGATTTAGTTGTGTTTATTTAGCAAACAAACTTATCTTGGGAAATAATTATGTTATATGTGGTTGATTGTTATTCATAATATGCATTTTTATTACTATCTGGTGTTTTAAGTGTTTATTTTAATAGGAACCTTACGATTTTACGATTTTAATCTACGATTCCGACTCTACTTTAATTTTCTATTTTACTTAAAATCTCAATTTTAACTGCATTGGATAGAGATATAACGAAATAGCACATATGTTACCAGACTTAACATGAGGTGTGGACCATTGTAATGCTTATCTACCTGTTAATTAGAGAGGAGGGGGAAGCAAATTAAATTAAAGTTTGAATTCGAATTAATGTTGAAATTTTGGACTTTTGTGGAGACATGCATATAAAAATAGGATAATTATTAATTATTGCATTGATGATAATGCTTTGTGGTCTATATGATCTCTCTTTTTTGTATCTGATATCTGGTTCTGCATTATCACTTATCTTTCCCTTGATATAAGTAGTTCTATAAGTGGTGTATGAAGTGTTTCAAAAAGGGACTTTATATCTAATAGTGGATCCACAATTTATAAAGGTATCATGCATGCACCTTATAGTTTATGGGCTGTCATTTGGGAAATAATTAAAGGCTTATAGTTAGTCATTTGATTTAATGGGTTCATAATTATTTTGATATTTCCAATCCAGATGTTTATTATGTGAAAACCGTCAGTTATAACATTTGTTTAGTCAATAATAGGAGATACTAATATGTTGTACTCGTTTTTATAGAAAGAAATGACCTGTCTAAAGTAGCACTTGATGAAAAAATTCTTGTCTAGTTAAGTAGTATGGGTTTCAAGTATTTGTGTGCATTACCTAAATTAAACCAAAAGGTACACGGAACTCCTACAAAAAAAAAAGGACATGGAACCAAACAATAATTGATCGAATTTTACGTAAAACTGTTTCATAATAATTATATTATTTATTCTCTACTGACCACCCTAAGTTGACTCGTTTCAGTGGTTACATACTTACATATTTTGTTTCGTTGTAGAGGGTAGAATATATTATTCGGATGGGACGTACTTGTCAACAATGTTAATGGGTTGATAACAAACAAAACAAAAGTTACTTATAAGTAAATATCATAAACAATTAAATGTAATTGTTTTGTCGTTAAGTAATTTAATCTCAATGAAAAAGAATGTATGGTGGAAAACTAAATATAAAAAAAGCGAATTAGTTAATATTGTTCTCATGCCTCCTTACCTAATTATCATGTATGGGGAACAACGGCGGAGCTAGGATTTCGAGTTTGGGAGGGCGAAATTTTTTATTCTGTTACTTCAGAACGACGATAAAAACATTTATTTTAATATTAGTATAACCATATTTTTTTATTATTAGAGTAACTCAAAAGTATTTTTTTAAAAATTGAAATTTGAAGAATTTAGTTCTAATTTCTTAGTACAAGATTTTAGAAACCAAAATATACAAGTTGAGAACTTATGAATGTCAAAACCACTAATTCCTACATGAAGAATTGAAGATGAGTTACTAAAACTGAAAAGAGAAAAACCAAATACCGCCTATATGCAGTGGATTGCGAACCCAGTATCTCAAGGATGAATTACATTATTCAAATCTGCTGGGCTAACTTCATTTCTTGTTCAAGTTTTGAACACTTGATTTTTATAAATGCTCTATAGTTTATACGAAATTTTCAGATACCGATATTGTTTATACGTAACTTTCAAAATTCTCGG